TACAAAATGAAAATTGGAAAAACAACTGCAAGTCATTCAGAGAAAACAAAAACATAGAAAATTATAAAAGAAATAACAAACAGCTCGAATGGACGCCGCCGCATCATTCATATTGTGGAAAGTGGCGGCCGCCACTGTTCCCGCCTTTGAAAGCAGTGACATCAGGAAATGCGCACCTGCGGGCCGAAACAGCGGCGGCCTGTTTTTTGGACCACACAACGGAAGCTGGGACTAACACACAACACACATTTTCATCAACCGGTTCCAGCTTTCCCAGGGAACAGGGGGCGCTGTTTCGGCCACCGGTCGCCGCCGCCCCCCCTAAAAAGTCGCCCTGACTCACAGGAGGGGCTATTTCCTTCTGTCGGAGGGATTGGTGGTTTAAACCACCGCAGTACTTCCTGAAGCCGTGCCCGTTAACGCGCCACAGTTTTAGGAAGCGTAAGGGCCACTACAAGAGCGCCCAAAATCATCCGACTAGAAACGTTTCTACTCTAGTTTTTTCCGCGGCCGATAGCTGAGCCAAGTACTGTTGGTTTAAACCACCAGCGCAACTGGAGAACCTGTTTCGAGCCTCTCCGAAAATTTAGGAGGCCGGGCGTCATAGACAAAATGCATCCGCGGCGCGTGGCCTCCGAAGGGGCCCGCGCCCAATAGCTGGCATGTACTGGTCCTTTTAAGTCTTCTGTGCTAGTTGGGAGTGACTGTGCACCCTCATGAAGACCTATAGTAGCATATGCTCATACCTAGGTCCCGAAGTCCCCGTGCAATCGGGCTTGCACAGCGTTTGCTTCAACCAGGGCTGAGCAAGGGGTAGGGGCCCTGCTTAGCACGGTGCCTGGAACCGCTGCCTGGTCAGGTCACCCCGCCAACCTGGTGATGGGTGATGGTCCTGGGTGGTTAACACTTCCGGCAGGGTAGGGGACACAGGGGGGCTGGGGATGCGCCAGGGCAAAAAGATGAGAGGAAGGGTAGGTGGGATCTTCGGAGGGGTTCATCTGGACAACCAAGTGATCGAACCCCTGCTTAGCCCGGTGCCTGCAACCGCTGTCTGGTCAGGTCACCCCGCCAACCTGGTGATGGGCGATGGTCCCGGGTGGTTAACACTTCCGGTAGGGAAAGACACATCGGGACTGGGGGTGTGCCGGGGCAAAAAGATGAGAGGAAGGGTAGGTGGGGTCTTCAGAGGGGGTTCGTCTGGACAACCGAGTGGGGCGATCACTGTGGGTGACCGTGATCTGTCTAGGACCCCACCTCTACAACAGTCTGCGCTTCCAAAAAAAAAAAAAAAGAGAAAGGTATGTGGTATTCCAGCTGGAATGAATGCGGTCGTATTCAGGTCTAGAGTCACTGGAGTGTACAAATCCGTCGTACACAGCTGCATTTTAACCAGACGCGGCAGACCCCTTGATTACACGGTGAACCTCATGACAATAGTGTGTATCTGCATCTGGCCAGATATACAGCTGCAATCATGACTTTGACGGGGAGGCTTGCTCGCAATATGTGATAAGGGGATCAAAACCAACCCGGGTTTCGATGCGAGCATGCTCGCTCACAGAGGGAGGGACTTGATTACTGTCAAATACATCCAGTACCTGCCTACAAAAGCGGTCAGATACGCCCCCAAAAAAGTCCTCGTGTGAGTATGGTCTAAGCATGCCCTTATAATCCCTTATAGACATACCAACTTGAAAGAAGTACCACAATGTCAGGATCATTGCAAGGTTGGGTGACAAGGCTATTGCTTTCTACATACCACGACGACCTGCGTACGTTCTTGTCCGTCAGCAACTACCCCCCAGTGTCCTTTGACGCAGGATTTGAACCCATGACCTATATTACGTAGAAATTCTACTAGGGGTGAGTACGACTCATAACCTTGGGGAAAGGGGGGTGACAAGGCGTTTCCTTTCTACATACCGCGACGACCTGCAATAATTATGGCAGTGAATTGTTGAGGTGATTGCTTTCTACATTTTCCCTGCCCGTCGGCTCACTGCCCACAAACAGATGAGATAGACAGAATCTTCTTTAGTTTCCTTCTTGTCCCATTCGGACGGAAAACAAGGGACTGAAGATCCCTGGAGGGAAAGGGGGGGGGGGCTTGCAACCAGAACAAGCCCCCCTTCAAAAATTCACTGCCGTAATTATTGTGCCGACAGCGTCTTCTTCTCTTACTTTGAAAATTCATGGTATCCTTGGGGAAAGAACATAGCCTCCTGCCGACATGTGTCCTTTTCAGAAAAGCAGTCCCCATGCCCCTTCCTTACACAAGGTAGCTGCACTGCTGCAGATCCTCCCATGTTCGAGTCAAAAGGGTTGCAGAGCATGGAAAGAGCTTTGTTGCGCATGCATAGGTGGAGAGAGAGAGAGAGAGGAGGGGGGGGGGGGAGAGAGAGAGAGAGAGAGGGGGGGAGAGAGATTGAGAGAGAGGGAGGGGGGAAGAGAGCGACAAGAGAAGAGGGAGGGAGCAAGTGAGAGAGAAAGAGAGGCCTGGCCTAACCATATCCAGAAAGAATCCTGTTTTGTGGACCCCGACACCAACCTGTTGAGATGTGGCTAGCAGCCGCCCCCCCCCCCCAGAGAGAGAGAGGGAGGGGGGAAGAGAGCGAGAGGGAGGGAGCAAGTGAGAGAGAGAGAGGCCTGGCCTAACCATCCAGAAAGAATCCTGTTTTGTGGACCCCGACACCAACCTGTCGAGATGTGGCTAGCAGCCCCCTCCCCACCAAAAGTCTCTCTCTCTCTCTCTCTCTCTCTCTCTCTCTCTCTCTCTCTCTCTCTCACACACACACACACACACCCACACACACACACACACACACACACANCACACACACACACACACACACACACGCACACACACCCCTACACATCCATCTTGAAAGCCAAAAGGTGCGAACACATCCACCTTGTGTCGAGCATGCAGGATGCCCCATCCACACGGTGGTGACCGTGCAGGATGCTTTGCTGCCCATCCACAGGGTGGTGACCGTGCAGGATCCAGGACTCGCGACATACTGACAGAAGCAAGGCCACAAGGACGAAAAAGGGTTCAAAAAGCACTAACTACTTTTCAGTACGACAATGCCTGAGAGTTCAGGGAAGTTTGTGGGCGTAGATTTTTCTACGAGGGTCTGCACCTAAGGAAGGTAAGGTCCCACTATTTTCCAGGTTGTTCGTGGCAGGATTTCAGCCCCCAATTCCCTTTTTTCAAGTTTATTGAAATTTCGAGCAATACAAGTTGACATCTCTTTATTTTCATGGCAGGACCTTTTATCTAACCAAAGGTCCAAAACACCATATAGTGTTTGGTCTGCAATGTGAGACTCCAACGTACTTGCCCCAACACCATATCCTCTCACATTATGGTGTTGGTGCAAGTACGTTGGAGTCTTGCATGAAGGCATAGTAGATAAGAGGCCTCTCGTCTCTAATCAACACCATAATGTGAGAGGCCTCGTATCTACTATGCCTTCATGCGATTACAGAAAAGAGGCCTGAGGCTCTGACATTGCACACCAAGCACTATATGGCGTTTGTTAGATATGCAGGCCCGACACGATGGCATGAAGGCATAGTAGATATCAAAAAAATCGTAGGCATGAGGATGCAAAGGCAGAAAAAGGGCAAAAAAGTTGAAAATTTTTCAAAAAAGAACAAGTGAAATTTCCAGTAATCATAACACTTACCAGCCCATGAGACAGAAGAGGGGCGGAGATACAGAAGAGAACCCCATGCTTCTCCACTCAGACTCTTCAGTCACACCTAAAAAAAAAAAAAGAATCTTCAGTCACATCAGTCACACCTTACAAAAAAAAAAGAAAAAAGAAAAAAGAATCTTCAGTCACACTAAGATGAGACGGAAGAGAACAAACCACCCAAGCATAGCAGATATCAATTCTTACGAATAGCAAAGCACAGGAAAAAAAAAAAAAAACTAGCAGCAAACACTCTCGCTCCTCCGCAACAAACACTCTCTCCTCCGAAGTATTCTCACTTCATGA